AGAAAGGTTTGGAAGTGCAGCGATCCAAAACTAATTCAAAATCAAATGTGTGATGGATCTGAGGGGTTTCTGGCAGATTGCAGACAGGGGCTCCTCCATGCTCGCAACTGCAGCCTTGCTTCGGAGCACACAACATGCACACTTTGAGTTGAGCATTTTGCCACACCACACAGTGCCACTGAATGCTGCTTGAAATGTAGGTCAAATTTGAGACCGTTCTATGTGATGAACTAAGGTGTTTTCCCTGCACAGTTTCCTAATCTCATAGAAACATAATGGCATAATTAGGAAAAGCAGAGACCTTCTTGATATTGTCATTCTGTGGTATTTGTACCAGATTTGTATCTCCATGTTTATCTATTGTATTAAAAACTCTGATCCTTAAAATTGTTGAATGATAAGCTTGAGTTTCATTATATATATTATATATGTGTATATAACATATAGATAATATATATGTTGATGAATTTTGCGTTAGGATTAGGATGGAATTTCCAACAACTTTTGAAATAGCCCTAACACATTTCTTCCATTTTGTACTATATATCTATTTGAAGTAGTAATCTCAATGTTAACAGTTATAGTATCAAAATATTATTCAACTCTGAAAAATATTGAGGATGCTCTCCACCCTGCGATATCAAATAGACAACAAAGATTAAACTCCTAATGTAAAAATAAAAAACAAAGCCAAGCATGGTGGTGTACAATTTAATCTCAGTACTTGTAAGACAAGGGCAGGGGAACCTCGGTGAGTTTGAGGCCAGCCTGGTCTAGTTTGAGGTCAGCCTGGTCTATAGTATGAGTTCTAGGCCAGCCAGGGCTGCACAGTAAACACCAGTCTGCCAAACAAACACAAAATACCACAGCTCTTCTATCTCATTAGAACGCAACTTGGACTTCATCTTTAATAAATGGCAAAATAAATGGAAATTGTCTTAAAATAACTTTATGGTTATTATAAGTGTTTTGTTTGTATGCCTGTTTTATAGACATATATACCTGGGACCATGTGGCAGTTTCTTGGGAGAAAGTGTGTTGGGGGTGGAAGGAGGTCTAACATTCCCTGGTCTCCCTCGAGCAAATCCAAAGTTTCCCTTCTCCTCTCCTCTGGGCTCCTTTTGCATGTGTGTATTCTGGAGCACAAGGCAATCACTCTATAGATGGCATCTGTCTCAGGGTTCCAGCCCACCTCCCTACAATGCACAGCAGTTACTAAACATCTCTGGACCACACAGCAGTTACTAAACATCTCTGGAACTCCCAGCACTTTGAATGATGGACAGGTCACACAAATGCTAACAGACTTGGGTGAGATTTTTAAAATATCTCTCCTGTTTATCTGCCTGTTAACATCTTGACTCCATTTAGAAACTTAAAATCCGGGTTAAAGTGAAGTCCTCAGCTGAGGAAAGGAAAATCTCAAGGGAAATATTTGGTCCCCATGCCAGGTTTCCAGCATGTCAGCCGCTTGCGACTGACCCCACCAACTGAGGATGAAGAGCCTTTCTGTCCAGGGCAGGCTTTAGGGCATCTATGATTTGGTTTTTACCTTACCCCTTGCTCCAAACCCTGAAGATTAAGTTGGGGAGTATCCGACTGCTAACCCCCCCCCACACACACACACAAACACTTTTTTCCCTAATGTTTCAATGGAAGACGCAAAGTTTGATCTCTTCCTTGTTGAGATGTGAGAACAATAGCAGCTTTCTGAGGCCGCAAGACTTCAAAAGGCCGCTGAGGGACCGCTCAGAAAATGCTTGGTCCTAATGACTGGAGCAATGCGCAGGCATCCTCCTGAGGCTCGGTACCCATTAGCCCAGGAAAATCCATCATCCCCGGAAAATCCATCATCCCCTTTCCTTCCTGGGTCCTTTGCTAAGCAGGCAGATGCAGGCAACAGGAAGGTTAAGCCTTGAAGAGACAAGACCAGACCCAGCTGGGAAACGTAGAAGACTATAAAAGCCAATGAGATAAGAAAGTATTGAGATGACCCAAATAGTATATGGATTTTTCGTTTTAATTCGAAAGAGAGGAAGAAAAAGAACATAAAGTTGAGAGATGGAGGGACCAGGGAAGAACTGAGGGAGGAGGAAAAGCATTACCAATATATTTTTTTTTTTTCGAAAAAGAAAAGGAAAAACTACGGAGGGGTGGATTGGTGCGTTTATACTGTAGGAAGAGCTCTGGGAAAGTATCAGGTCGGACGTGAAACAGCCACACCAGAGCAGGCCCGCCCCTCTGTGCCAGTGCGGTGTGGGTTCATCTCCCCTTTGCCGGCCCCACAGTTTGCACCCGGATGACTCCCGCTGCCCGCCCGCCTGCGAAGAAGCCGGGCTGCAAACTTCCCAGCCTCGGAATCCTGCTGCTCCAGGAGCAGTTTGGATTACCGCTCAGCCCCGCCAGCCGCCCGCCTGGAGAGAGGAGTATTCAATCTCCCCGCCCCCCGCTGCGGTGAAAGTTTGCTCCCACTTCGCTGCTCCCCCACCTCCACCCCGAGGCGTGAGGAACGAGTAGGAGTTCCCGGGTCCGCGCAAATACACTCATCAACAAAGGAAAGCCCATTAAACCTTCCCTCCTGTGAACTCACCCCCGCGGATACCTCTTTGAACTGACCCCCGCCCCGCAGCCCCAGAGTCGTTTGGGGGCGCGCTGGCCCTCCCGGGTTCTCTCCTTCCCTCCCGGCGGCTCACTTTTGCTGCGCGCCTTGTCTTTGAAGTCTCTTTACATTACGCTACGGCAGCCACGCGCTCTTGGCCCGCGCGGGGGCTTTGTGTAACGGAACTGACATTTGGCCTTGATACCTGTATCTCTTGGTGATTGCAACAAAATTCCAAAATAAATATTGTGCTTTGATCTCCCTGCACTGTATTTTTAATGGACGCTCCAACATTACTTCATTAGGAAGATTTTTTTTTCTTTCTTTCTTTTTGGATCTCCATGCGAAGGGATGAGAGTTAAAGCGCAGTTCTTCGAAATCTCGCTCCAAACTCATGCTTGGCCCTGGGAGGGCTAGAACTGTTTCAACAAAAAGCGGCTATGATGCTCCTGAGCGTCCGGTGCTCCCAGAGCAAGCAGTTCTACAGACTTTGCACTGAAACTTTTGAGCCCACAAGCACTGTTACCAAGGCTGCTAGCACATTTTACAGATGGGCAAACAGAGGCATACTTACCAGGATTCTCAGTAACAAGGCGGGAAAACCTGGCTTCAAAGTTTGAGCGCTTAACCGCTCTCCTTGGCGCCCGTGGAAGCTTCATAGCCTAAAAAGTTAGCGGGAAAAGTTAACTTTTGCAACTATTGAAGTGTATGTAAACTGACTCGTTTTGCCTTTTGAGTAAACGAGCTAACACTTTTGGCCAAAGAGTATGCTTCCAGCTTGCTTTACCGCCTTCCGGGAGAGGCAGGATGGGAAGGTTCAGAAAGTGAGAGGAACCAGACGGACAGCCTTCTAGGTTGTCCTGGCCAAGCTCCCTGGCTTTAGATGCATACGTGAGAAATGTCTCCTTTTGGTCCCAGGTTTCTCCAGGGCTGGGTCCTTGCAATTGGACCGAGAGGGAGCAGGTCGGCCAGGCCCCAAGGCAAACCTCTGAGTCACCTCCCTTTCCCGCTTGCACAGCACCACAAACTCGTGTTCAGGGAGGAGTGAGGTCGCGTGGGTTGAGCTGTGAGGTGGCTGTTCACTGGCCCACGAGTGATAACTCGTTGGGGAGAAGGACCGGATGCTAGTACGGGGCGTGTGAAGCCTGTTAGTCCTTTCCATTTCGAAGGCGCATCCGGAGCGTGGGAGAATACGGGCCTTCTTAATGGCATGGTGTCAGGACTCTTCTTGATGAACCTGTGAAGGGCGCCGATCTGCAGTGCAGAGTCTGAAGCGGTAGGGGTTCCGCTAACCTCTGAGTGCTAATTTGGGAGTTAGGTCACCGGGTCCTGGAACATCAGTCCTGATCGTCTGGTGGTCCCTGGACGGCGCATAAACACCCGACGCGAGCTGAACTGGTTCCGGGCTTCCAGAGAGGCTGGCAGCCTCAGAGACCAAAGATCCCAGAGGCGGAGAAGAATCAGGTCAAGTCAACCTCAGGCGAACCACTTCTCTGTGCAGTCACCCAAGTTGCCACTGCTGGGTCTCTGACGGAACTCCAGGCCACCAAAACGGTGAAGGCCCCGTGTCACCCTGCCAGCCTCTAGTCTATCCCTTTCGGCTCCAGAACTAATAGGGACGGGTCCTGGACCAAAGGCAGGCAGGAGGCCTACTGACCCTGCAGGACGGGTCGACGAAGTTTTGAGGGGGAGGAAACACCCTGGAGAAGACTCCAGTGTCCAGACAAAGCACTCCTGTGGATGAACTTCCAACGATGACAAGAACAAGTGTTTGCTTTGACTTTTCTCCCCCCCGCCCCCCAGGGACCTCCTCCCAGTGATCTGTGGGTTCTTAAAGCACCGGGATGGGGTGAGATGGGGTCGCGGGGAAAGGGGACTGCGGAGGAGTTCCCAAGCCTTGCTGTCCAGCTTGTGACATCGCCGCACTTGATGGTACTGAGAGGTTACTAGCATCTCTGGCAAGTCTCGATGGAGCCCAACAAGTGGGAGGCTTGCCCGGTCCTGCTCAACACACGGAACTGCTTGTCTGGAAAGTACAATCCAACTCCCCTCCCGCGAAGTCCCCGGCACCCACCGCCCCAAGTGTCTGTTTTGGGTTGTTCTGGTGTCCTGCCAAGTTCGGTTGTGGGAGGAAGCAGTAAGAGCGGGGCGGGTTTTTTCTAGATTCAATCTGCAAAAGTTGTAGCCCCAGGAAAACTTCCAGGTCACCAGTGGGAGCCTCAAGAGGACTCTGCGGCTTGTCAAGCGGGAGGGCCTGGAGTGTGTGCGCCACCCACTGCCGCCCTGGGAGGCTGCCCAGCCCTGCCCAGGGTCACAGAGCTGCCTGTGGCTCCGCGGGCGGCCAAGGGGTGGGACACGCGGCCGACAGGGTTTGGTCAGTCCCACGCCCCGCCCCGCCCCAGGAGCTCGCTCTGGTCGGCGACGTGAGGGTGCTGAGTAAGTATGGGGAAGTTACCCACATCCCAGTCTCAAAAGTACCGCTCCTGAAAGCTAAAGGCAGATTTTTTTTTTAGAGATAACAAAGACACTTTGTCACTTTGCGCGCTGCCTTGGTGCAAATCTTTAATTGCAAGTGGGGGTGGGGGATCGAGTGTCCCGAGCAACCCAAGCGCGAGTCTCCAGGCGGCAAGGCCCCCTTTGATCAGGAAAATCCAATTATTTGTGTATATACATTTCCCACATAGTGATTACTTCATTAATTGTCCCGCCTTTATCTCCTCCCTTCCCATCCCCCCTAATAATCAGTTCTTTTATCCAGACCAACAAACACACCATAGGAGCTTTGTGGATTCAAAGGATTTGCTTTCGCTTCTGAAAGAGCCGCTATTCTTTGATGATTGGGTAGCGGCAAACTTCAAAGCCATAAATCTTTCCTCTGACTGGCTGGCGGCCCAGCAAAGCCCTTATCAAATTCTTGGAGGTGATCCTGAAGCGCTCAGAACGCGCGCGGGGCGAGCGAGCGGGGCGCGGGCGGGCGGGGAGGACTCGGAGGCACGCTGGGCGGCCGATCGTCCTCGCCTTCGGGTGTCCATGCCTCGGCGGCCGCGTCCCACTCCACAACGAGCGGCCTTGAAGCAGTAGCTATGGCCGCTGTGGCCGTCCTCCGGAACGACTCTCTGCAGGCCTTCCTCCAGGTCAGGGCCGGGCCCGGAGAGGGCGGGAGCAGGTGGGAATCTGTAGTGCGGATCTGTGCGGGTACTCTGAGCACCTTGAATCGCAAAAGGACCTCCCCCTTAAAGGTGCGACTGGAGTCAGACCTAGGCGCGCCCATGCCAACGTGACAACTAAGCTGGTGTGTGTATATGTAGCCTATAGGGAGAGATGCATGGATTTGGGGAGAGGGGTATGTGGATGTCAAAGTGGCAGAGAACTGGGCCTGAGTTCACCTGGCCGGGCACTTCTGCTGACTTCAGCCTAGAACAGGCCAAAGAGGAACGTAGTGGCTGCAAGGAAAAGAGCTTATAAAATGCTAGAGCAGACGGCCCCACAGCCCGGCTGTGGGTGTTTTCAGGCTCTTCCTGACCGGTCCGGTCGCTCTGCCTCTTTCTTTGCACCTACCTTAAAGTCTGATTGGCGTGTCTTTGAGCCCAGTAGTGTAGCAGAAACCTACCGCGCATCGGGGGTTCAGGTAGCACAGGCGCTGAAAGTTTCCCGGGACCGCTGGGTACGCGCGTGGGGTGCGGTGAGGTCTGGGGGAGGGATGGCCCGGCGGAGGAGGGGCAGGGGTATAATAGTGGGGGTGGCGGGCCTGCCCAGAGTCGGCGTTTGAAACGCTAACCTTTTGTCTCTTCCGCCCTCCCTTGCCGCCGCCTATGCAGGACCGCACCCCCAGCGCCTCTCCGGACCTAGGCAAGCACTCGCCCCTGGCTCTGCTGGCCGCCACCTGTAGCCGGATCGGCCAGCCTGGCACGGCTGCAGCCCCCGACTTCCTGCAGGTGCCCTACGACCCAACTCTGGGCTCACCCTCCCGGCTTTTCCACCCTTGGACCGCCGATATGCCCGCTCACTCGCCAGGCGCCCTGCCTCCCCCGCACCCCAGCCTGGGGCTGACGCCACAAAAAACACACCTGCAGCCGTCCTTTGGGGCAGCGCACGAGCTCCCGCTCACGCCCCCAGCGGATCCCTCGTACCCTTACGAGTTCTCGCCGGTCAAGATGCTGCCCTCGAGCATGGCGGCACTGCCTGCAAGCTGCGCGCCCGCCTACGTGCCCTACGCCACCCAGGCCGCTCTGCCTCCGGGCTACTCCAACCTGCTGCCCCCGCCACCACCTCCGCCTCCACCGCCCACCTGCCGCCAGCTATCCCCCGCCCCAGCCCCGGACGACCTCCCCTGGTGGAGCATCCCGCAATCGGGCGCGGGGCCGGGAGGCTCCGGGGTTCCTGGGACTAGCCTCTCCAGCGCCTGTGCCGGGGCCCCCCACGCTCCCCGCTTTCCTGCCTCAGCTGCGGCTGCTGCAGCGGCTGCAGCTGCCCTGCAACGGGGCCTAGTGTTGGGCCCGTCGGACTTCGCGCAGTATCAGAGCCAGATCGCCGCGCTACTGCAGACCAAGGCCCCCCTGGCGGCCACGGCCAGGAGGTGCCGCCGCTGCCGCTGCCCCAACTGCCAGGCGGCTGGCGGCGCCCCCGAGGCGGAGCCGGGCAAAAAGAAGCAACACGTGTGCCACGTGCCAGGCTGCGGCAAGGTGTACGGCAAGACGTCGCACCTGAAGGCGCACCTGCGCTGGCACACGGGCGAGCGGCCCTTCGTGTGCAACTGGCTCTTCTGCGGCAAGAGCTTCACGCGCTCAGATGAGCTGCAGCGGCACCTGCGGACTCACACGGGCGAGAAACGCTTCGCCTGTCCCGAATGTGGCAAACGCTTCATGCGCAGCGACCACCTCGCTAAGCACGTGAAGACGCACCAAAATAAGAAGCTCAAAGTTGCTGAGGCTGGGGTGAAGCGAGAGAACCCGCGGGACCTATGAGCTCACTCGGGCACCTCGGAAACCACTCCCGCCCAGGACATCCTTCCCGGCATCTTTACTGGCACGCCCCGAGCAGACCATCGAGAAAGTTGGCAGAGAGGAAACTTTAAAAACGATCTTTTTATTGCCTTCCTCCCAAAGCGTAGCTCTGCTGCTGTCCGGTCCTAGAGCGGAGGACAGGACAGGCAGGAATAGGAACTGAATCATGGTTGAGAACCCTAAGTTACCCCAGGACAATTGCAAAGTCCCAGCCATCGCCTGCCTGGAAGACCTACAGGCAGGGATTCCACCCCGGCCTGGCCTTTCTTGTAGGATTCGCTGCTGATGGAAAAAGGAAGGGCCTTAGAAGGTTCAAAACAGGGCTTGAGTTTTCACTAGGCCCAATTCGGGCTTTGTACAGGTTATTTAATAATAGCTTTGTTAAAGAGTAATTATAATTATAACATTAATAAATGTTTCTGTTGTTCTCAGCTCCACCCAGAGCTATACAGCATGGTGTTTCTGTAAAGCGCTCAGCAGTTGCAGCGTGAAAATAAATACGTTCATTCCAGGGTCTCCTCAGGAAGACCCCCGCAGAGCTGGTCTCCTCTGATCTTTCCTTCTTCCTGGAGTCCTCACTGAGAGGTCAGGTTTCACCAGGGATTTGATGGTTCCTGTGTGCTGCTTGTGTCTAGGGAAGTCTTTGGTTTCTAAAGTTTGGGGAAAGTGTGTGCTGGATGCATGGGCAGGCGCAGAGCAATCGATTTTCAGGTAGAGAGCCTAGGGCAAGATTTGCCCCTCCCAGCTTAGGTTTCTGTGCAACTCCAGGGCTTGATGTGGGGCTAGCTTTGTAAGTTTGATACCCGCTGCACATAGAACAATTCAGCGGTTTCCCTGCTGAATTGTTGATACTTTGGGAACCGGTGGGAAGGAGCTAAGCGTTCTCAGGGCCTTCTCCCAGGTGAGATTTTTAGAGTTAAATTGGCAGTTCTTACGTGGATTGGGCAGTGTCAAGATAACACCGAAAATGTAACTGTGACTCTTGCAGCAAGTCAGCCTGGCCACACAACTTGTTTGCTAATTCACAAAGAACAGCTAAACAGACATCTAGGTAGGTCAGGAAGTTTAATTCTTCTTGTAGCTTGGACTTTCCTTTTAATCACCTGGCCAGACAGATTTTCTCAGGGAAGAGACGGAAATTCTCGCTCAGAGCCTAAAATACAGGAACAAGGTTTTTTTTGTTGTTGTTGTTTTTTCTTAAGATCTACGTTTCTCACGTTTCTCTAACTTTTTAACGCTTGAAGTCTTTTCTTTTTCCCAAGTGTCTCAACTCATCTGTATTGCAATATTTGAGGTTTCAACCCCAAAACTTAACAAGCAATCAAACTCTTTCAGAATCAGCAAACCTCAAACCAGACTTTAAATCCCATTGCTGTGTTAAGCCGATGTCAATGTGGTGACTGATCTTTGCATGAAAGATTGGTGCCCGTGTATTTATAGTTCACAGCCTATAAGTTTGCCGTGAATTTTTGCCTGAAGCCAAACTAAAGTGTGAATTTTCAAAAGCTCTTATGGGTGGCTCTTGACATTTACGTAAACAAAACAAGACATCAACATTATTGAGATGGGAATAGCTTTTATAAGTCATAAGAAAATGCTTTCTTGTGTAATGTGAGACAAGACAGCAAGTGTATGCTAGATTCCTTGGCTAGGCACACCTCAGAGCCACTTGTCCTCTTTAGAGACTTTGAACTGTTTAATAAACTTGAATGTCAGCCATCCTGGTCCCTCGCTCCAGCAGAGTGAGCAAAGTGTGTAAGGGTGTGGCTGGTACAGCTGCTAGACAGTGTGATCAGTGCACACCTAGATGTGCGTTCTTAATCTAAATCTACTGTAATTAGTCAGGAACGTCCTGATTAGACCTGTACATGTGACATGGATTAGACCTGTACATGTGACATGAATTAGACCTGTACATGTGACATGAATTAGACCTGTACATGTGACATGAATAAGTAGAAACGCTGCATGAAGTTTTCAGTCATTTCCTCTTGAGCCACTGCCTCGGAAGAACATCCGATGTTCTTCAGACTCAAAGGTTTCTTGCCAGGTGATGGGGACTTACTTAGGACTCAGGATATTTGAAGTGATTTTGTCATGTGTGTATAAGAAGAGTAGCTTTGATTTAAAAAAAAAAAAAAGGAAGAAAGTGGCAGTTTTGAAACACACTTGTGATTACCGACAGGCACAATCCTTTAGGATTCAAAGAGAATGAGAGAGAAACAAACCTTTCTCATGGGGAAGAAAAAGCAGACAAAATGTATGAGATTGAAAATTAAACTTGAGAAATAGAGAAGGTTGTTTTCTTAGAACTTTGTAATTAAGGGGGAAACTAGGTCAACTGCATGGAATTTGCCAAAATAAGGTATATATAACTTTAAAAACCAAACTAAGCGTTGTCATGACAAAACTAACCTTTTTTAGGATTGTGTTTAATTGAACCATCCAAATTTAAAAGCAGTCTTTAGCTTATTTGATACACAGTATTTGTTGATCATTCATTGTATCACTGCAGCTCTGTCGTTACTGTAGAAAAGGAACTATTGCCATTATTGAAGGAGAAGTCAAGAAGCCACAGTGATAATAATATCCAAATATAAGAAGGCATTCCATGAGTATACTGAAAAAATACGCTAATATAATGTAGAAATGCATTCAAGTTCTCAAGCTGTGGAAATTTGATTTTTGCATGCTTTGTTTTATAAGTTACAACCAGAGTACCAATTTAAGGACATTGAAACTTATTCTGGAACACCAGTATGCCAAAATGATATGTATGATTTAGGCACAAATTGAATATATTACTCACAGTAGAAAACTTAAAGGAATTAAAATTAAAAGTTTAGAAACAAATTGTTGCTAAATGTAAACTACATGTTATTTTAAATTGGAGTTTGCCAGCCCCAGAAAGCGAGTTTAGTCTGCTAATTTTATCAAGGTTTTTTTTTAAAAAGACTTTGGTACACAATTATTTAAAAGCTGAAATGCATATGTTAATGATTGTCTCAAATAACACTACGCTTGGGTTTTAAGAAGCTGATTTGGGCAGAAGGGGAAATAGAGTGTATATGAAATTCCAAACTGGAGACATTTTAAAGTATACACTCAGTGAATAAATTAATCATCAGGGTTAAGAGTTAGAAACAAAGAAATTGAATAATATATAAATTGGTTAATTTGAAATTTTGCGTTTCTGAATTTAACAATATGGTTTTCTGCTTTTCTCAAGAGAACATTGGGAAGAAATTTCCATAGTTGGTCACTTGTTTTTAATGGGTCTGGTAAACATGCCAAAGGAAATACAAGTGTTGCTAACCTCAATTCCAGTCGCTTCTACATGCATGAGAATTAAATTCTTATGGCTGTGTTTTATATATATATTTATATATATTAAACTATTTGCCTTAATTCAGTCAAATAAGACTTGCCACTAAAAAAGTAATCTTGCTGAAGGTGCTTCCAGGAAAAACTTGTTTTGATGACATCATAAAAAGGCAGGTTTTTAGCCCAACGTGTGCTATGTTTTATTCTAGTACCATAGGCTTTGAAGCAATCAGTTTAAAGTGGTGTCTTTGCATTGTTCCTTGGGTCTGCTAGGATAATGTGGCAAAGGCTGTTACAGAAGTAGCTATGAGTTCCTACTCTTTCACAGTGTGGCTGACGCCTGTTTAAGTCAGACTGTAGAACTGAAAGACATTTTTACTTACTTTAGCTTATTGCATTACACAAAAGAGCCAATTAGAAGGTTTTTGGGGGGTTCTTTTTGGGTTTTGGTAGGGAATGAGCTATGTTGAAGAATCAGACTTAGATTTTGGTGTCTGGTAAACAACTGCAGGTCACTACTGTCCCCAGTTTACTGCAGCTACTTTCCTCCTTTTTGCATGACAGAGGGAGAACTTTTAAAAAAATTTGAGACCTGGGACACATATAAAATGCTAGTGGCACACACCTTGAATCCAATAAGAAGGAGGATGACGCAGGATCGCCCAGCGTTCAAGGCCAATACAGGTTACAGAGTGAGTTTGAGGCCAGCCTGAACTGCCAAGCAAGACCATACCAGTTGCAAAACCCCCTCCAAAACCAGAAAAATGTATGCTAACACAGTTTGATAAAGTAGGGAAATCATAAGGAAAATATCTAGGTAGACCCGTGTTTACAATGAGATATGTTTAGGTTAATATGCCAAAATAGCATGCATTATAGTCATAATCTGGTTCGTGTAACAATCTATGTAGGTAACTTAGCATTTTCTCTGGTATTAGTAAGATTCCACATTTTTGCATGTGTTGATACTAGATTCAGCAGTAGTTCAATTTAATTTATGGACACTATACAATAGTCTTCATCATGTCTCTGACTGCTACAAGTAAGAGATACTAGTTTAACAACGGCGTAGCCCAACAGCTTCGGACCATTGCTGCTTTCTTGACCGCTTCCCTGGATGTTTCACTTCTACAGTTTCTTATGTAAAGATGTGCATGTGTATGACATCATACCATTTCAGTTGACATTGTAATGTCTTTCTGGGCTATACGCTTGCTTTCCTTCCTCGTCCTTGGCAATTCTCTAAAGCCGTTCTCAATGGGAAGGTCGCTATCTAGTCCATAATTTAGTCCACACACATGGACTTCAGCAGTTGTTATACAACATAAAATAACTAAAGTGTGGGTTACTTTTCTGTGTAATACAAAAGTCTAAACAGGGAAATCATAGCTAGTTCTTAGTTTGATAGAACATGGAAAGTCTACAGCTTTCACCTTCCAGAAAGTCAATTCAGCCCTGTGAAGACGGAGACTGTAAACTATGATGTGTAAGTTTGATGTACAATAAAAACATTTACTAGTCACACTTCTGACATCAAAAATACATGAAAATAGTATAATATCCAACAAGGTGTCTCCATGCCTTCTGAGTTTTTTTAAATGTGAAGTTAAACCCTTCTGGCATGCAGGCACGAGTCATTTCTTAGTCAGTACTGTCTAAAACTCAGTGGGAAACATCCAGTCTTCAGCTCTGTTTCATACTATCCCCACGGCAAGCATTGGGCCCACCTCCTCGTTTATGCTTAAGACTAGGAAATGTGTCCTCATTTTGAACATATTTGGAGACGTCATCCTAAAAATCTATAGAAAGCTTATTCATATGGATTTTATTCTTATGTCCTGTATACTTGTTATTCTGTGTCTTGAAGAAGGCAAATGTCTATCCATCCATGTCCATCTCTGTGATAAAAGCTTTATGTAATGTGTCTCTTCCTTAAAAGTACACCACACTGTGTGGTGGTGGTGCACACCTTTAATCCCAGCATGAGAAGCAGAGGCAGAGGCAGAGGCAGGAATCTCTGAGTTTGCGGCCAGCCTGGTCTACAGAGTGAGTTTCAGAACAACCAGAGTTTCACAGGGGAACCCTGTCTTGAAAAAAACAAAAAACAACAACAAAAAAGTGCACCTACTATTTGACTTAACTCCCTATAGCACAGAACCCAACTGGTTTCTAAACTATACTGCTTTTAAATTGTAATTTGTTTGTGT